AACTCTATCCTTTCACTCAATACCAAATTTAGTACCATTTAGTACTTTTCGTACAAATATAGGATGAATTTCCAAATAACTGCCAAATCTCAAACACAGATACCATCAGTAATTTAAATATCAAATATCAGTACCATTTAGTACTTTTCATACAATTATAGTACACAAATTATAGTACCAAATATAGTACCATTTAGTACTTTTCATACAATTATAGTACACATTTCCAAAACCACCCCATAACTCACTTCCAGATACCAACATAGACATCAATATCATATTTCAGGATTTCAGAACTATCCCTTAAGCCAATGCCAAATTTCGTACCATTTACTACACTTCGTACAATTATAGGATGAATGTCCAAACCACTGCCAAATCTCAAGCACAGGTATCATCTGTAATCAAAATATCAAATTTCATAATTTTATCACTATCCCTTCGCGCAATATCAAATATAGTACCATTTAGTACTTTTCATACAATTATAGTACACATATCTGAAACTACCTTCATATGTTCATGCTACACATCAACAGCGACCCTAACAGCAAATTTCCAATTTGAAGCACTATCACCCAATGGCACCGAATTTCCAAAAACTCCTTTTTTACCTATTCTGTGCTTCAACTGTGACTCTCATTCCAAATTTCAAAATTCTTGCTCATTCAAGTTCGTGATTCCTCCGAAATTAAGATTTACACTTCATTTAAAAATCACCACCAATTCTGTTCTCTCTTATTTCAAATATTTTAATATCTTAATTACTCTCGCGTATCTCAATTTCACCTTAATTTTTATTAAATCATTATCATTAGCATATGTCTTTATTTCCCTCCATTTCGATTTCATTTCTAAATCCTCTTCCGTGTAAACTTTTCGTGTTTTTAATTAATTTATTATGAAAATTTATCTCAATTCGTTGGCAAAACATTTTTGCTAATTTGCCACAATCATGCACAGGATACGGATAACGATGTGCCCAACACACACACATAGATACTTCAAAGTCTCAGCTGTACACTCATACACACCCACACATTAAACCTTTGAGCATTCCATTACAGGAAAGAAAACAATACCATTGATATTTGTACAAATGTAGGTGGTATTTGAATGGGAGAAAAGAAAAACCTTGTTTTTTTACTATCCATTTAAATTGTTTTTGCTGACATGCTAATAGCGAATGCTTTGTGAGGTCCTTGACAGCCACATTCACATGCACCGTGATAAGGAGTGTTTTTGTTTTACTAATATCTAGATTGAATAATGATGTTGAACATTAATCTTTATTATAGCTTTTAATAAGATTATTAATATGACAAATATGACAACCTTGAGGTTAGGTGTTCTTCTTCTTTTTGGAGGATGATAAATATTTAGCCTAGGCGGAAATGGGTATGAAGATTGATTTGTTAAAGGAACTTCTCCATAAATTTTGGATATTGATGTCTTGGGTTGGTTCCATAAAGATATATCATCACTGTAAAAAGAAATATTTTGAAAAAAGTCAGAAAATTCGGATTATTAGAAACAACTTCGGAAATATAGTCACATGTATTCTCCTGAGCCTCCATTTGCCCCAGCCCCTCATTATACATTTTATGCAATTCAGCATTAAAAATTTTTATTATCAGAAACAACTCCGATAAAATAGGCACATATATTCTGAAAGTATTCCTCGAGAGCTTTTAATTGATGTCTATCTTAACATGGCATCTATTACAGTTTCTGTCCCTGTCCATGTCTTTTCTGAAAATCGGATTTTCTAAAATAGTTATAAACCAGTAAAGAAAGTCCTAAAGTCGGGTGGGGCCGACTTTATGATACCCTACAGCACTTTGCTAATTTAGAAAAACTCCGCATAAAATTAAAAGTTTTTATGGGAGAATTCAATCATACACGCCATGATTATAACTATAATTTAAAGTTCAAAGGACTAAATATGCCGAAGCATTTGCATCTTTTAAATTCGGACTTGTATTGCCCATTTGGTGCAAAATTAATTTGAAATCATATAAAGATATATATGGGAGCTATATCTAAATCTGAACCGATCTCAAATAAATTTGATATTTCTGAGCTGTATTTGATATATCTCTCTGAATATCGTTGTTACGGAGTGCATATTATGGCTGTGTGTAACAAATACAACAAATCGGATGAACAATATATATGAGAGCTATAGATATATCTGAACCGATCTCCACTAAATTTGGCATACTAGCTTCTAGACTCAATTCGGTCGTATGTGCCAAATTTCATCCTATTTGGGCAAATATTAGACATTTGGTGCACAATAAAAGGTAAATCGGACGAAGTTATATATGGGAGCCATATCCAAATCTGAACCGACCTCGATAAAATTTAGCAAAGGTATTTCTGAGCTGCATTTGATATACGTCCCCAAATATTGTTGTTACAGAGTGCATATTACGGCTGCAGAGGACAAATAACAAAATGCGAACTGTACTTTGTTTACAAATATACATGGACAGACGGACATGCATAAATCGACTCAGAATGTGATTCTATGCAGATCATCAAAAGGAACTGTTACAAACAAATGCACAAAGACATAATACCCTGACCAGCTTGTGGTGGTGACACATATATTCTGAAAGTATTCCTCGAGAGCTTTTAATTGATGTCGATCTCTCTGAAAATCGGATTTTTTAAAATAGTAATAAAAAAACAAGTGAAAAAGTATCAGTTGGTTTTGCCGACAGATGTATACCCTCAGCCAATGTTGGATTCGATTATTAAAACATGTTTTGAATTCTGTCATGATTATTCAAATTGTTGACTCTCTATGGAGTAAGTTCCGAAGGAATGGCCGAATATTGTCCATCTCGCATCGAACTTAAAAAAATATGATATAAATATTGAGACGTGCCAGGTTAGAATATATACAGGGTGAGATGAAAAAATTGCAACCTATTTCAGACTGCTGTCTTTTCTAAGCCACACGTCTGACAGCTGTTAAAATTATTCCAGTGACAGCTCATTATATTGTTTACAAGCGTACAAAAGCATTTCGGTGAGAATTTTCCGGAAAAAAGTTATTCGTGATGGAATTAAAGGGCGATAGTGTGATTTCTGAAAAACAAAAAGTGGCTATCGCTAGAGCACTCCAGCATTTAAATGTGAATAAATCTTTTGTGTCTCGTACCATCGCTCGTTACCGTGATATTTGTAGCGTAGCCCGACGTCAAGGATTGGAAGTGGACGGAAGAAAAAAGCAACATCAACAGAAATGATACGAAAAGTAAAGAAGAGACTTGATCGAAGACCGCGTCGCAGTGGCCGAAAAATGGCTAGTGAGCTGAACATATCGCAATATTCCATTCGGCAAATATTGAAAAAATGAGCTTGGGATAAAGCCATTGAAATTCCAAAAAGTGCAAGAACTTGCACTGCAACAGAAAGAAAATAGACTCAAAAGAGCTAAAGAGTTGCTTCGATTGGCCGAAAGTGGTGAACTATCGAATTTGGGTTTCTCCGATGAGAAAACATTCGTTGTCCAGCAGTTTGTAAACAAACAAAATGATCGTGTTTACTTGCCAAAGAGGTGAAAATGTGCACCTTCGGTTGGTCACCAGAACTCAAGCGCCGGCCATGGTGATGGTGTGGGCCGCCATAACAAGCGATGGTCCCTCTTCGCTCGATCGTGGCATCAGAATAAATGCCGAATAATATCGGGAAAATATTCTGGAGGGTATATTAAAGCCTTGGGCACGCAAAACTTTTTGCCGCCGACATTGGACATTCCAACAGGACTCAGCACGCGCCACCCAAGAATGGTTACAAAATGAGGTTTCTCGCTTAATTTCCAGCGCACAATGGCCACGAAAATATCCAGATACCAATCCGATGGACTATTGTGTCTGGAGTATTTTGCAAGCAAGCGCTTCGCCGGGAATGGGCAAAAATACCACAGAGCAACATTCGGGCACCGTGTGACGGTTTCATTGGCCGTTTGAGGGCCATAATTCGTGCCAAAGGTGACAATTCGAACAAATCTAAACTTATTCTAAAATTTGATGCTATTTCCGACATTTTTTGCTTTCATTCAATAAAATTAAAAAAAAAATTTAAATTATGGCGTTTGACTTTGTTGCAGTTTTTTTATCTCGCCCTGTATATGGGAGCTATATCGAAATCTGAACCGATCTTGATAAAATTTGGCACAGGTATTTCAAACATCATTCTTGTGGGGTGCATATTACGTATGTTATGTTACGTATATATATGGGAGCTATGCCTGAACCAAATTTGACGTACTTGCTTCTGGACTGATTCCTGAATTTGCCAAAATTCAGCTCATTTGGACTTATAATGGACATTTGGTGCACAATTAACCCGAAATCGGTTGAAGATATAAACTAGCTATCTAAATCTGATCACCAATTTCAATACGGTTCGTCCTAGGGCCAAAAAAATATTGTTGGAAAATTTCATCTCAATCGGATAATAATTGCGACCTGCATTTTGTTCACAAGAAAACATGGACAGACGGACGGACGACATACGAACTGACATACGTAAATCGACTCAGAAAGTGATTCTATGAAGATCCTCAAAAGTAACTATGGGTCTATCTCGCTTCCTTCTCCACTACGAATTGTAGGGTATACAAAGTCGGAGAAATCGGACTAATCAGCTTCCAAAAAATAGGCATATATATTCTACAAGTACTCCTTAAGAGCTTTAAGCAGCAGTTTCTCTGCTCATGTTTTCTTCTGAAAATCGAAAGATAGGGTTATTTTAAAAATAAGGCATATATATTGTGAAAGTTCTCCTCCATATCTTTCATTTGAGCTGCGTCCCAACATATATAATAGTTGGTTTGCAATACAGCATTTTCCATCCACTACTATGGAAGAACGGCACTCTTTGGGTATGTGATTTCGTTACGTCTTGTTGGGTTCCTGATTAGTGAGAAAACATGCTTCCGAGTTCTATTCGTTTGTGATCTTCAAATACTTTGAATATTTAAATTTTGTGTGACATTCATTATCCATTTTTTATTCAAACAAGCTCTAAAAACTAGTAACCTAAAATTTGCCTTTTAAAAAGCAATTTTTTTTAAACAAAATAAAACAAATTGTTGTTAAAATATACGTAATAAAATACATAACGTATTTAAAAAAATAATAAAATTCTAAACCACTTAAACTGCTGGCACCGCATTCTTCAGAGCAATTTTCGTGTGTTCCAATGCATTCAATTTGGCAATTTGTTTCATGGTATCCAGATCTTTTATAAAGGTGGCCAAAACATCTTTGGTGGTACCCAAGTCGGCATCATGCAGGTCAGGTAAATCATCTTCCTGTTCCAAGGCTGTAAAATCAAAATACATTTTAAAACTCTAACAACATTTTGAATAATTTCAAAACCTCTTACCATCTATGGCAGATTCAATATCACTAAGACGTTGCATTGCCAAAGTTTGTTGTATTTTAATGTGTTCCTGCAAACGTTGTTGACATTCACCACCATCAATGGGAGCCTCAGGTTGTGGTATATTGGGTATAGGGGGTTTGACTGGCGTCATTGGCTCAGTTTTAATCTTCTTCGAGTTGGGAGTTAAGCAGAGTTTATTATCAGTATCGAATTTCTTCTCGGAATCCTCCTCGCTTTTTATTTCCTCTTTCATCTCTAAATCATCATCCCATTTTGTGGCCCACAAATACAATTTAGGATGACATTTATTGTTGGCAATGTTGATTTTGACTTTCAGGGAATGCATGAAATTCTTTAGTTCCAAAAGGTTACCCGTCAAAACATGGGTACGTTTGAGATAATCTGCCCGCTTATTCAGCAACGTTTGATTTTGTGTGTGATAATTGGCCGCAGGTAATTTACCCTCATATAACCAATCTTGATCATGTTTAAATTGCATTGAATAACGTCCCTTTTCAGGATTACGACACGTATAGCAGACATATTTATCTGGTACTTGTGATTCATTTTCAATGCCATGACATTGGCCATGTTGCCAGCACAAGCATAGCTCACACTGAATCATTAAACCATCCTCTTCCATATATTTACACAGACAATTGATAATTTCCTCTTGACGCATGCGTACAATTTTGATGATTTCCCCGTTTTCTTTGATATATTGTTGTGTGGCATTTTCCGCCGCATCGTTATTGGACATTGGCTGAAGAGAGCTTGATCCCGAATCGGCTGTAATGGGAGATTCCACACTGCTAAGGGGTGTATTGCCCACATTGGGTTTTCGTTTTTTGTTGTCTTTGTTTATTTCTGGAGTGGCATTGAATGAGTGGCGAGTTTCCTCAAAATCTGCCACACCACTAAAACTGGAATCCCCTGTAGTTGGTGGTACTCCCGTCGAGGAAGTGTGGCTAGTGTTTTGCTGCATTGACCGGCTAGCTGTGGCTTGGGCCGCCGTCAAATATTTCCTTGTGGTACGTTGACGATTACTTTTCCTCGCCCCGGGAGTACGCTTCGATGGTGAAAATCTTGATTTCTTGGAAAGAGGTGGAGCATCTGCCATCGCCTCGACATTACCCAAAGAATCATCTGCTGTAGTTGAGGCAAATGAACTCTCCAAGGTAGAATTGTTGGCTGCCGATGTGCTGGTATTTGCTTCTGTTGTGACCTGATCTCCTGGTTCAGTTTTGACCTGATTTTCAACATTTTCAGTTGCCTCCATATTTTGCGGCTTCACTACTCCAATACTTCTGCGATGAGCACGGGTTTGTTCTAAATCTTGTTGATGTAATTTGGCAAAGAATTGTTGATTGGGTATTTGATTCCTTGGTGTAGGTTCAGCGGCATCATGGTCTGTGGGGCGTGTACGTTTTTCAGCCAATTCCTGCATTTTGGGACAGGAACCAAGGAGTCTGTAAAAAGGTGTGTATTGAATTTAATTATTTGCAACAATTCCTTATTTCAGGATGTCTTCTTACTTGGCCAAATTCAAATGATAATGTTTGACATGAATCTGTAGATGATTTTCTTTGCGGAAATTTTTGGAACATCCCTCATCAGGACAACGGAAAAGATTGTCCACAATCTGTACCTTAAGGCCTCCGATAAGTGCTGAAAAAAATGAGGCGTAAAACAATTATTTAAACAAATTGAAATTTGCCAAAACCAAATCAAAAACTGAAATCCAAAGCTTACCATAGCCATCTTCCACCTGAGGACCTGTTGATTCTGGAACATTTGTTTGTGCGGCAGCTGTCTCTCCAGTTGCACTTACAATTTCCTCTTTCAAATCGACTGTGGGTGTATTTGTGGGAGTAGGTGTAGAGCTCATCTCAGCGGATTCCAATAATTGTTTTGGTACCTCAGCACCAACCTGGGTCACACTTTTATCATCCGCCGCTGAACTTGTTGATGTCAGCAACTCAATTGGTGGCAATGGCTCTGCCACGGGAGTTTCCATATATGGTGAGGGGGCTGAGGTCCCCAAAGGCTCTAGCGTCGATAATGGTTTATTCTCCACAGGGACATCGAAATTCAATGATGATTTTGGTTTGGGTGGTTGCTGTGGCACATAGCCCGGAGTGTAGACATAACAATTGATATCCTTGGCCCTACGTCTATGTATACTAAAGTCATATATATCAGGATTATAGACCTGACCCTGTTCTTCCAGAAATGTTTTGAGATCGGCCTTTGAACGAAAACGTTTTCCCAATGGACTGACAAGAATAACATCCCATTTGCCCAGAACATTGGAACGTTGATACATGTGTTTTACCCAACCCTCTGGGAGGCGCCAATCTTCTACAATGACCGTGGGTTTGCGATGCTCACCCACAATGAGAAAACCTTCACGGCCTATGGGTTGATCATTTACCCAATGGCAGGTCCACTCACCATCCCTGGGTATTTCGGGGAGATTCAGGGAAGCTAGAAAAATAATTTTCCAAAATTAAAAATAAATAATTCAAAATCTTTAAAATAACCTACGTATATCCAATTTTGATAAATCCAATAAAGGCCAATCTTTGCGTCCCGCACTTCCAGCCCTTTTCTTTGGCTTGGAGCCATCCGCTGGAGTTGTGGAGGCCCGTTTTACACCAGGTGAAGGTGAAGCTGCAGCTGCCGGCAAAGGTGTTGAGGGTGATGGTTGCAAAGTGGTTTCGCCTCCAACCAACTCTGGCACCGTTACTGCCAAGGGCTCTTGGACTTCATTCAAAATCTTATTCATATGAATGGCCCGAACATTTTTCACATAACCATCATCGAATAGAACCTCATACGTGTCATTTCCCAGAATTTTCTTTACCGTGCCGGGGAATTTACGCGGCCCAGACCAACGAGCCAAACATTTCTCTTCCAAAGTGAATACCGGTATTGGTTTTGTGGAGATTTTCTGGCGTAAACGTGATGAATTCATAGGAATCCATTCTTCGGTTCCCACAATGGTTGATTTCACCTTTCCAGTTTTTTCAAATTTTATCAAAACCTCACGATCATCATTATCCACCTCTACGATGCGGGCCGAATGCCAAACACCTTCAAAATCTTGAGCTTCAAGACGTGCTCCGGGATTAAAGGATGTAACTGGTTCATATTTTACACCCGGCGATGCTACAACTCCTAAATCATGTGTGGAGTCGTCTAAATTTTCGCCAGGTTTTTCATTTTTCAATGCTGCTGCGGCGGCATTTAGCTCTGCCGTCTGGGCCATTATCTGAGCGACAGTGGCCGCAACAGTGGCTTTGGTATCTTCATCCACGGAATCAGCAGAGGCCGTGAGCACAGCTGTTGGTGGAACACTTGGTGTGGCTGAATTGAGAAATTCCAAATCTTCCTCAATTTGAGCGGCATCGACTTTGCCCCATGGAAAAACGGTGGGAAATACTTTCTGCTTCAACAGATATTTTCCACTGCGTTGAGGTTGAAAATCTGCCCTGCGGAAATGTCTGGAACAGACCAAAACACTTTTTGTAATTTGGCGATCTGAGTTGATTTTGGTGTTCTTTATCCAAATGGAGCGGGTGTTTTCATCTGAAAATGAAATGCAGAAATTTAACAATTGCAGCTCAAAAAATGCTTCACGTTACTTACCTGCTGGGAAAGAATGATATGTGACTCCATGGTGTTCCGGCAAGCGTGATGTGGAAGTGCACCCGGCAATACAGCATTTTCTGCCCATTGTTTACTGTGTTTGTTGTGTTCTTTTCTTCTTCTTGTTGCCTTGATAATGCTTCTTCTTCTTCCTCTTAAAATGTGACGAAATTTTCAGCCACAAATAATTATGTTTTTCCTTTAAAATTATTCGATTTTCCTTTGAATTTCTATTTGAGACGTTGAAGTGGATATTTTTCTTTATTTTTACACAATTTTCATTGGATTTTCCTCATTTATTTCCCATTTATTTGATATTTTTCACTCCATTTTCACACACTGCGTTCTCAATTTGACAAATGCTTGGTAGTTTAAGGGTGCTTTAGGTAATGTGATTGATGTAAAAAATAGGAAAAATAAATGATTGAAGTGTAGATGGCGCTCAGTCTGCTATCATAGTAGACACAAATAAAAAATAAAGGAAGAGGATTATAAACCTAATTTTTTAACATTATTATTAAAGGAAAATGTGATCTAAAATCCTGGATTTTAAGTGCTTCTTAAGGAAAATCGGTCCACTAATATTTAATTTGTACAAATATTATTAATATGAGGTATATAATCGTGGATTTTTTAGTTATTGTTTATGGATTATTTCCTCTGAATGTTTTTAAAGGAATATAAGGGATTTTCTACAAAACTATTATGAAAATATAGTAATTATTTTGGAATATTTCTAAAAAGGGCATAAATAAGTCTTTAAATACATTATATAAAGAATAAAGAAAAATAGCTGATGAAAATTAAAAAAAAAATTAAATAAAAAATATCAGATTTTAAAAAATATTTTAGAAATCGTGAATTTTTCAGAATATTTTCTAAAGAAATGCATTTAGTGTTCACATTTTTTAAAGAATAGTATAATTTAGTCGTTAAATTTTATAAGATTTTTTAAAGTAAATATGTACCGTGTTCGTAAATATCTAATAAAAAAATTTTTAAGATATTTTGTATTTTTGTGGGTTATTTTGTTAGAATTTAAAAATATGTAACTATTATGTTGACCGAGATAAATACGTTGTATTGTTTGTTTGGTACGGAGAAAGAAGACAAGTCTGTTGTACATAGCATCGCATATTTATAACTTTAAGGCACGTATTTCTGATAACTCCTTAAAAAACATGTCTTAATTCACCTTGGCTTAATAGGAGTGAAAATATGTTTAGGATGCATAGTTTATGAACCCAAAAAGAAGTCTTTGAATACGGATTTTTTGTAGCAATCCGATTCGAGGTAATGCAAACTATTTAATAAATGCTTGTGCTTGTGGATAAAGGGTTTGTTTATTTGTCATGGTTATATTTGAATTTCAAAATTACTGAAGAATGTTTTATTTATTTGCATGTAGCGCCATCTACACTTCAATGTTAATAGTGTTCTCTTGTCCACACGGTTTTATCCTTGATATTTGTCGATAATATAAACCGTATTATCATTCATAGCTTTCAGCTTTCATATGTCTTAAATTGTTCAAATGTTACCGACTTAAATCATGTTTACATTCAGATTTTATGCGTATTTATATGCATTATCATTTGTTCTGTTCCTGAACCATAACAGAATGGATACGTTTTTTATATCCTCCACCATACATAGTATGGAGGGTATAATAATTTTGTTATTCCGTTTGTAACACGTCGAAATATACATTTTACATCCCACAAAGTATATATGTAGATTCTTCATCAGCATAAAATTCTATGTTGATTGAGCGATGCCCGTCCATCTGTGGAAATCACCCCAGCTTTCGAACAAAATGAAGTAGGTTGATAAAATTTTACTCAAATGTATATTATATCTGCAGGACTTTTGGGCCATGTAGGTCCACGTTTTGGTATAGCGCCCATATAATGATACCTATATCCTATTAACGTATACCCTATTTTACGTATTTTGGTGATTTAAGCGACATTCTTCACCGGAAATGTTTTAAATTTGGTATTTGAAGTTTGTAATGGATACTACAGCCTATGACAGAAAATTGCCTTTGCAGATCCACGTCTTCGTATAGCCCCATGCAATGGTACCTCCGGATATTCGGTATTTTGATGATTTTAGCGACATTGTTCACCGGAAATGTTTTAAATTTGGTATTTAAAGTTCGTATTAGATACTAAAGCCTATGACAGAAAATTGTCTGTGCAGGTCCACGCCTTCGTATATATAACGGCACCTCCCGATATTCAGTATTTTGATGATTTTAGCGACATTATTTACCGGAATTGTTCCAAATTTGGTATTTAAAGTTCGTAATGAATATCACAGTCTGTCTTCGCAGGTCCACGTTTTGGTATAGCCCTATATAATGGTACCTCCCTATATTCGGTATTGTGATGATTTTAGCTACATAATTCACTGAATTTTTTTCAAGAAAAAAATTGCCTATGCAGTTACATTCAGTATTTATAAGATTTTAATGGATTTTTAACGGATTTCATATTTTTGAAAATTGCCAAATTCGTTGCAAATGGTGGAGGGTATACAAAGTTCGGCCCGGCCGAACTTAAGGTGGAAATACATAAATCGCTTATCTGGCTGACTTAAGTCATCGGCTGGCATCTTCGGCAAATAACAAACGAGCCTAGGGCCATAATCGAACTACGTCAACCTAAAACTCCTTAGTTCATCTACGAAGAAGCCAGCAGAATATGAGCTAATACTTATCCCCCACTTATCCCCAGAAAGAACGCATAGCGCATCCATTCTGTTTTCCACTTTAAAGACCAGAGAAAAATTAACGCACCACGCCTCTGCGATAAAACAACAAGAAGTTTAGTACCGGATAATTGTTGTTTCATAGGTAACACGTGACATGAAAAACGCGCAACGCGTTCATTCTGCTTCGCCTTTGAGTATTCTCTTAACCGCATTGTACCAATAAGGTAATGCATTCATATTATCATATTCGGTTCATCTTATATTTACAAACATTTAAACCAGATCCGAATACCTCCATTAATTTCCACGCGATCCATTTCTGTCACATTAAAATTCTCATTCGATTGAGTGTGAATGCAATTAGAACATTCTCAATTATAAAATTGTAAAAATATGCATATTTCTTATCCGTTTTTTATTTAATTGTTATATGATCCAAATACAATATTCTTATTGGATTGGAATATTTTTGCCTTGAAATTGAATATGCCATCTAGCACTTTCGGTGGATGACAATAAAAAGAGCCGACGACGACGACGACAACGATAAAGACCAAAAGCGTGAATTTATGTGACACAATACGGATACCAAGTGAAGTGGCCGGCCAACCAAGCATTTAGTTAAACCACATACACACACGCTTTACCCAACTTTGTTTTTTTTGCAAGTCTTTGAGCCTCCCCCAGCACAAATGAAATGCTTTGTCTTTAGTATGCAAAGCATCACTGCTAGCCACCATAACATGATTGGATTCTAAAAAAATTGGCTATTGATAAGTTATTTAAGTTTAATGCTTATTTTAAATTCTAGCAGGAGAAGAAGCAAAAAAACGACAACAGAAAATAAAAATTAAAAAAAAAATATTGTTTCCCGGTGTTCGCTTGTGCTATGGTACCAAATGCTCTTACAATTCGAAACGCATACCATTTGCCTGGCAACCCCCACTTTAAATCATTTCCGCTTTATGCAAGTTCTTCAAACTTTATATTGATTTCAAACAAAACAACAAAATTTTTGTTTTCAATTTCAAATTCTATTGTCATTTCAATACTAATGTCAATTTTTTGTTCATTTTTTATTTCTTATTGTTAATGACAGAATGTCACCCGTGGCAGTTCATTATCATTTGGGAAATTGTTCACCTTTGAAAAAAGGTGAATATTTAATTATTGAGATTTTCGATAAATCAAAACTTGGCACAGTATAAGGACTCAAACTTGGCAATAAAACTTTCAATGTAATTTGATTTTGAGATGTGTCATTTATGTAACACGTAAATTGGGTCAATGTAAACATTATTGAAATATGATCAATGACAAGTGTAAATAGGTATGTCTTTTCACTTTGGCAGTCAAATTTACTCAGTAAGTTCCAGTGTTGCCGTTTTGGGCGTTTCCGTCCAAATTTGGGCGGAAAAAAGATAAATTTTGTGGTTTGGGCGGATTTTGGGCGGATTTTTTCCATATTGGGTACAATTTTTTTTTCATTGTTTATTTTTACCAAGTTTAATTTTTTTATTACTAACTGAATTTTATATTTTTTTATTGAGATGAATCGTTATTTAATTTATAGATTTTTGTTAAGTTTTTTAATAATATATATAATACATTAGGCTATAGTCGTGCGGGGCCGACCATGTGATAGCCTACAACACTACAATATGTTAGAAGCTCCTTCATGTCCAAATCCATTTTGGAAGATTTCGCTTTTGAAATTATGTCACGGAGCACTGCCCAGATATTACCCTTAGCATTTTGACCAGGGACATTTTCAAAATATTTATGCACTCCGTCGTGCTGTTAGTTTTTGTGGTCCATTTTACGGCTAAATATATTCCAATGGTCATCCAAAATGCCAGAATTCTTCTCTGTGCTTTTCAGGTGTGTCGATTGGCTTCATATGTGTGATCAGGATTTTTTTTTCTGTTTTTGGTTCATTTAAACCCCTAAATATTTTGCGATCATCTCCAAAAGCAAGAGGCCCCTTTGCTTGATTTGCTTGTCAACGAAATCAGCATAAAAAAGCCAGAAGTTCGCCTATTGTGTATCGCCTGTAAGTAATGTTGGTATTTTTTTTACACAAAAGTAGTGGTCCATTCTACCCGCTGTCCTTAGCTCTAACTTCATGCGAGATTTCGTGTCCTTAGGTTTATATTTGGGACCTTTATAACGGCAGCAAAATCAGGAACATTTTGAGTTGCTGGTCAATTTCAACCCCTAAATATATTGCGGACATCTTTGAAAACAATAGGCTAAGCCCTTTTGAGCCTAACCCTACCTTTCTGAAAAATTTCGTGGGGATCGAACGATAATTGCAATCTGTATATAAATAATAACCCTAACCTGTGTTGTAAAGTAAAATAATATTACAAAACAAATACTTCAATATTATAAGTCAATTTGAAAAAATCACATGCGATAAAAAATATGAAAAAATAAAAAAGGTCACAAAATACTACAAAATCTATATGAACATCATTATTGGTATCTTTTTATGCGATTTTTCAGTTTTTATACTTTAATGCCACAAGGGCATTCTAAATTGACAAAATTTGTCAAAATCGCTCCAGCCATTCTGAAGATATAAGCATTCTAGCTGACATCCCCTTCCTTTGTATATATACATTGTATATATTTCTCTATATATATCCG